GTCGAGGAGAGGGAAGGGTAACGCACGGGAGTCGGGAGAGGAGAAGAGTTCGGTCGGCATTTTTTTTTAGTCGGGAATCGGGATGTTGGTGGCGGCGCGGCTGTTGGTCACGCAGGCACAGGAGACGGGGAGAGGATAAGAGGCAGAGGAAATTTCCACTTATATAGCTAGGGTTTTTGGTAGGCTTTTTGATGGGCCGTCTATTTTGGGCACCCAACGGAGCACCATGGGCGAAATATAGGATCCGCACCAAAACCGAAGACTTTCGGGTACCCGAAACCGCAAAACCGTGGGTAAAATTTGAGAACCAAAACAGAAAACCGCAGAACCAAAAACCGCGGATATCCGAACCGAAACCGACCGCTGCCATCTTTACTCATGTCAAAGTTCTTTGGCCAAGAAACCAGCTCGAACTTATGATGAGGTGTTAAATTGTTGCAAGAAGTACGTCAATCTTGAAAAAAAATGGAGGAAGAGTTTGAAAAACTGAGCAGATGGATCGACCTGAGCCAAAAAAAGAAAAGGACTAGCTCATCCAGGAGGGATAGACAGAACATGTTGGAGAGGGGTCAAGAGAATCGGTGGAAGGATCGACCTCTACTAAGCGAAAAAAGGTAACACAAGTATACACCATTGAAAACCCAGAAGATGATTGAGTTATTGAAGACAATTGAATGGAAATTGGATGGTTGAGATGCCATTTAGCCGAGGTCAAGGACTGAGGTACCTACTTAACCAAAGTCTAATATGTTGTCCGGTCATATGGATTTACCCAATGCTAGAATGTGCACTGCGTGTATAAGAAAAGTGATGGAAATGTGCGGGTGTTTTTTGTGCTATACGTAGACGACATTCGTCTCATTAGAAACAGTGTGAATAAGTTATCAGACGTGAAGGTATGGTTTTCCAAGCATTTTGATATGAAGGATTTGGGAGCAGTATGACACATTCTCGAGATCAAGGTCATCCAAGACCGTGAAAAGAGAATGTTGTGATGGTCTCAGTCCACATACATAGATATTGTATTGGCGCATTTCAACACACATGATTCAAAGAAAGGGCAACTTCCCTATCGACGTGGAATTCTTCTGTCTAAGAGGATGTCTTCTAAGACACCTCAAGAGATAGAGGACATGAAGGCAGTTCCTCATGCAACGGCAGTAAGAAGCCTTGTGTATGCAATGTTGTGCACGTGGCCAAATATCTGTTATGCCGTGGCATGGTAGCCAGATATCAATGTAATCCAGGACCAGAGCACAGTGAAGCACATACTCAAGTACCTGCAAAAGGACTAAGGAGTATATCTCATTTTTCCAAGTAGACGAGTTCCTCACGTTAGGTTACAATGATTCTAATTTCCAGTCAGACCGGGATGAAAGTAAATCCACCTCTGGTTTATGTTTTCTCTAGGAGGAGAAGTCATAGTTTGGAGAAGTGTCAAGCAGAAATGCATGGTGACTCCACCGTGGATGTTGAATATGTCACAACCTCAGAGGCAACAAAGTAAGCAGTGTGACTCAGAAATTTCTTGTTAGACCATAACGTGGTATCGAGTTTGCCTGTTACTATCACAGTTTTCTGTGACAACAGCAGAGCAGTAGCAAACTCGAAGGAACCACGAACTCATAAAGTGAGTAAATACATAGAGCGCAAGTACCATCTGATACGAAAAATCAATGGACGAGTGGAAGTCGTTGTTGCCAAGATAGCGTCAGAGGACAACATAGCATATTCTTTTACGAAGATCCTAACGGCGAATGTCTTCGACGAACGTAGAAGGAATGAGAGTCAGACGTAAGGATGACTAGTTAGACAATTATTTGAGAATTAGATTGAAAGAAGTTATACTTAATAATAGTCGAAACCTTTATAGAGTATAAGTGGGAGATTGTTAGAGTATACTGTAAAAGCTCGACTTTCAATTTCTAGCAATACCATTTTGATTGACAATCATGTTTTGGTCAAGTGTTTGTGTTTGCAATTTATTTATTTATGTGAGCATGAGTTCCTTTATTTTATGTTGTATATAATATGGTTCGATGTGTCGACCTGAAAGATCATATTATTGATTCCTTGTAATATATAAATAATTCACAGTCTAGACAAAATTGGACAACCTCTTTGTAAACGACTGTAGTTTACTTTTTTATTCAGTTGATCATTGGATGGTGAATTACACAAGTATTTTGTAAGTATTGAATGGACCACGAAGGAGAAAATTATTTGAATACTGACGAAGTAAATAATCTAGACCTCAGTAATTGATGCATACCCTTAAGCCATAAGATAATAAACGAGTATATATACATATTTATTTGATTTACCAATGTTGACTCCTATTTAGTTATGATGACATACTCAGTATTTTTGTAAATGATGATGTTTATGTGAAGTGTTGTTAAAATAATTTACGATCACTATGTCCCGGTCTGCTGGTTTGATGACGTCCCCCAAAATGAGCCTAGAAAGGAATATTATGTTAAGCCCTGCCGGCGAATAAAATTTCAACATAATGAGTAAGGGACTGAGTGGTACTAATCTCATATTCGAGAGATAATATAAATTGTTTAGTTTTATTGTCAGTAATTAAATTAATCAATGGATTTTATTGTTAGTGTTATAGAGTCAACAATTATATCTTAAACACAGGGATGGTAAATCGATCAATTAAATTAATTAAATTAATTAATTGCGTATGATGTTCAAATTTATTATATAAATTGAAGATAAATGGGGAGATTAATAATATTACTCTAGTGGAATTTTTTATTATTTATTCAAATAAAAGGAGGAATTAAATTATCTAGAACTTTTCTAAGTAGAAGTATATAATTCTTTCTAGACTACTACCAAGGTTGGAAGACGTGGGAGTCTTCTAGAAGGGGTAACTAAGTTGGAAGGTTTAGGGCTTCTAGAAGGGAAAGGAGTTGGAAGATATTAGGTTTCCTAATCTTATTTGAAGAAGCTCATATTTTGCACCTCCTAAGGTCCCTAGTGTAGCCTATAAATACACCAAAGTCCCAACTCGATATAGATACATGCGTGAGGACCGATTTTTAGTCTTCAAAAGAAGAGAAAAATCGTGCACTATTACTATATATTGAGAGTTTGGGAGTTTTGCTTGGTCGCGCCACCAAAACTATTCGAAGTAGGACTATAAGGTCATAGATTAGAAGATCTTAAGGTCTAATATTTTGAGAAGCCTAAAGAATATATTGCCATTGGAAAAAATTCTGATGTATCACAAAACTCGCTGGAAGCCATCATTCTCAGTTGCACGCTGCCACACGAGACAATCACCGGCCATGTCCATTCCCAGCCACGCATAGCCTACGCGATCGGCAACAACGCCGCGATCTCCTAGTGACGCCCATACCGCGACCGTGTAGCGCCGCGCGCTACCAGGTGAGCCTGAGATTCTCGCACGTGCCTCGACCCTTTGACTCCCGTATGACCCTGACATCCTTGGACGCAGGCAGTGCAGATGCCCATGCTCGCACGCAGACACACACACCCGCAGGCAGACACACAAGCTAGTGACCTGCAGCGCCCGATGCGCGGCATGTGTTATCATCCGACTCGGCAAAACACCATTAAGAAGTCTCAAGCATCATGTTAAGTGAAATTAACTATTGAACCGACGTGATCCAAGACCACGCTGGTCCACGCAATGAACCGGTCCGAACTACCGAAGACCGGAGTAACTGATACCCACCGAGGTCAACTTAAACCAAGGTCATCACCTCCTAAAGCAGGTGACAAGGCGCCTACTCACCCCTATCACAATCCACGAGGTTTGTCATCATTCACGTGGGACCCACTGCTCCAACCGCCCACCAAAAGTTACTTTATACGAACAATAATCCACGAATCCCAATGTATCTATCAAAAAAGCTACTATAAATAGTGAGCCTAGGACATTTGTACGGGGACCCCCGAATTCGAGAACATGAAACACGTAACAGCCGATAAAGGCTTTTCACCTCGGTTCACCTCGGACCGGGGCCATTGTTGAACAATTCTTACATGCTTTACGTTTAAACCACTTGAAATTATCCCATAAACTCAACCTAAAATCGTTGTTAAGAATCATACGACAACAGCATGCACGCTAGCAAACCCGCAACCCCGACGTGCACGCATCTAGAAAATGCCCAACGCACATCAATCTCAGGTGACCTGATCACGACCCCCACATGATGGGTGACCTGTGAGGCCTAGTCAGGTTGCCCAACGGACTCCGCGGTTCAGACGATCTTCTACAGAGAAAATCTACAATGTCTCAGAGTCGAATAATTTTTAAACGGTAAATTCCTAATCCTAACTGTAGATTCCACTGCATTATGATTTAATTCTTTAGATTCGTATGTGCATATCATTGACGTTCCTAATAAAACCTAACATTCTGGTAATATTGGGGTTTCCAACGGTAGTGTCTCTTTTCCCTGATGTTTTGCGTGCATTTGGTGCCTAGGTCTTTGTGGTCTTCACTGCTACTGCCGTATCTTCGAGTTTCTCCAACGTTTTGAATATACTTTTTGTCGGTCTTCAAGATCTTTGCTGCTACCGCCGCATCTTTAAGTTTCATCGACGTCTTGGGTATGCTTTTCATCGATGTCTTCAGGGCTTTCGCTACTGAGACTTGAAGAGATCGGCTTCCTTTTTTGGTCAACGACGTATTCCGGTAATTTTGCAGAAAAAGAACTAAGAGTTATATAGTAGTGTTCACAAAGCAAAAATTGACTCCAAAAAACATATGAAACCCTCCTTCTAGCATCAAACTATTGA